TATAATACAAAAACTTATATTAGTATAAATTAATAGTTAGTATATATTATACATTTTATAATAGTAATTAGTATGATTATTATAACTTATAATAGTAATTACTAATATATAATATAATTATACTAATATAACTAATATAATTTATTATAAGTAATATAATTCTTATAAATTATATTATAAGTAATATAATTGATTATGATTATACTAATTACAAATATATAGTTTTTTATTATACTAACATAGTAATTAGTATAGTTACTAGTATTATTGTACTAATTATTATAATAACATCTTGATTAGAATTGATTATCTTAAAAAATAAAATTTATTGATATTATGCTAGAATTATAATTGATTATTTTATAAAATTATTAACATACATCGTAATATATTGCAGACGCCGGTCGAAGATTTTGGAGGAGACGGTCTTGATTACCGACCTTATTTCACAACAACTAATCTATTTGATAGTGTTGACGAAACTATTGAATGGGCAAAAGATATTGCAATCATATGGGGTTTCTCATTGATCATCTCGAGACACGAAAAAGAAGGAAAGAATAGGTTGTTGAGGTGTGATCGGGGAGAACGTTACAGAAGCCGTGTAGGAAAGGTAGTTAACGCTATTATGAGAAAATCGAAAACTAAATTGACCAACTGTCTTTTTCAGTTAAGAGTCAAATTTGATTCTCAATCAAAAAAATGGTATATCTCGGTTCCTTTAAATGATGAGAATGGAAAGCATAATCATGCGTTGGCTGTTAATCCCGAGGGTCATCGACAGATGAGCGGCCTTAGCGATCCGTCCAAAAAGATTGTCCGTGATATGACTTCTGCTCAGGCAAGACCGGCAGCAATTTTGGTTGCGATTCAGGAGCAAAACCCTGTAGACAACGCTACTTGTAAACAAGTGTACAACTATAGACATAAAGTGCGGAAAAATAATTTGCAGGGTAGAGATGTGGCTGACCAACTTCTGAATTAGGCTAAGGCCAACAACTATATACATTACGTAGATGTTGATACGGACACACAGGCGTTGACACGTGTCTTCATGTCGCATCCTCAATCTGCCAGTCTGTATCAGACATATTACTGGTATGTCGGTATAGACACCACGTACAAAACCAACAGGTATGTTATGTTACTTTATAAATATCAATTTAATACGAATATTATTAGTATGTTTGAATAGGTTTTTTGACTCTATGTTGCTTTCATTTTTACAGGTACAAGATGTCATTGGTGGAACTGATTGGAATGACGCCGTGCAACAAGAACTTCTTAATTGTCTGTGCAATTATCAAGGACGAGACCGAGTACAGTTATAACTGGGTCCTACAGCGGTTGAGACTTCTGTTACCTTCTG